ACAAAAACCCAGGTGAAAGCCTCTTAACGTCAATGAGATCCAGCGACATCAGAAGCAGATATTCAGCTCAGAAGAGAGAAGGGACTTTGCTTTAGGTGTGACGAAAATTCAGCCCTAACCACCAATGTAAGAGTAGATTTCTGCAGATCCTGTTAGCATGGGAAGAAGAAAATCCAGAGAAGGGAGAAATAGTTCTAGACGATGACGAGGAGCCAAATACTGAAGGTAATCCCTTGGCACTATCCATGAATTCTATCGTGGGAATCACATCTGACAAAACTCTCAAAATAAAGGGGAAGATTGAAGGAGTGGGAGTGATTGTTTTGGTTGATAGTGGGGCATCCCACAATTTTATTTCTCTCGAATTGGTACGCAAAATGGGTTTGCAAATTGAAACAGGGAAAAAGTTTGGAGTAATGGTGGGTAACGGTGTCACAGTGAGAGGAGAAGGAGTTTGTAAGGCAGTACCATTGGAAGTTCAAGGTGTCAGGATTGCACAGGATTTTTTTCCTTTTGATTTGGGAGGTATGGATGTGGTCTTAGAGGTGACTTGGTTGAGCTCCTTGGGTGATGTCTGTGCAAACTGAAAAAACCTAACAATGAAATTCGAATGGGAAGGCAGAAGGGTTAACTTACAGGGAGACCCATCCTTGGTGAAGACGGAGGTATCTCTGAAGGCCATGTTAAAGTCACTCCAGTACTCGGGAGAAGGTTTTTTAGTCGAATTCTGTTCTATGGAAGGAGAGCCAGAATCAGATGAGGAACCTATAGATCCTAGGATTGTGTCACTATTGGAAAGGTGTAACCAAATGTTGGACCAACCTACTAAACTACCCTCATACCGTCAGCATGACCATGCCATAGTCCTGAAGGCAGAAGCTCGACCACCCAATATACGCCCTTATAGATATCCATATTTCCAGAAAAATGAAATTGAAAAAATGGTGGAAGAGATGTTGGTAGCAGGAATCATCCAGCCTAGCACTAGTCCTTTTGCCAGCCCAATATTATTAGTTAAAAAAAAAAGATGGGAGCTGGAGGTTTTGCGTGGATTATAGAGCGCTCAATGAGATAACTATCCCCAATAAATTTCCCATACCCACCATCGAGAAGTTGTTGGATGAATTAGCGGGGGCTGTGTTTTTTTCAAAGATTGATCTCCGATCGGGTTACCATCAGATTTAGGTGAAGGAGGCGGATATTCACAAAACTGCTTTCCGAACTCATGACGGCCATTACGATTCTTAATAATGCCATTTGGTTTAACCAACGCCCCATTAACCTTTCAAGCACTGATGAATAACATTTTTAAACTGGTTTTGAGGAAGTTTGTGTTGGTTTTCTTCGATGACATTTTGATTTACAGTCCTGATCTTGATTCTCATGTGTTCCATCTTGAACAGGCTCTTACAATTCTATAGGACACAGCTAGTAATGAATAGGAAGAAGTGTCTGTTCGGTCAACAGAAGCTGGACTACCTAGGCCACATAATTTCAGCACAGGGAGTGGAAGATGATCCATGCAAAATTGAGGCAATGATTGAATGGCCTGTGCCGACCAATATAAAGGGGTTACGGGGTTTTTTAGGTCTCACCGGGTATTACAGGAGGTTTGTCAAAGGATATGGAAATATTGCACAGCCACTTACTGAATTGCTAAAAAAGGATGCATTCCGTTAGGATGAGGGAGCTCAAAAGGCATTTAACCAACTCAAGCAAGTCATGACTACAGTTCCCGTACTTGCCATCCCAAATTTTACACTTCCTTTTGAAATTCACACGGACACTTCAGGTCACGGAATGGGTGCAGTCCTACTCCAGCAGTCCATACCTATAGCGTATCTAAGCAAGGCCTTCTCACCACAAGCACAACAGAAGTCCATATACGAACGGGAACTAATGGCAATTGTCTTGGCAGTGCATAAGTGGAGTCTATACTTATTGGGCAATCGATTCACCATTAGGACTGACCAAAGGAGTCTACAATTTCTCACGGACCAGTGAATAAAAACTCCGGAACAACAAAAATGGCTGTCTAACCTAATGGAATACTCCTTCGACATTCACTACTGGCCGGGCAAAACAAACACAGTGGCAGATGCCTTGTCACAACGAGGGGAAAGACCAGAATTGAGTACTATTTCAGTCATTCAGTTTACAGAATACGATGAGTTAGCCACGGAAGCACACCAAGATCCTAAGTTACAACCTATCATTCAAGATCTCCTCGTTGATCCCAACAGCCGCCCACACTACAGACTTAGGCAGGGGTGTCTCCTGTATAAAAACAGAGTTGTCTTACCAAAAAACTCCAGGTTTATAGCTAAACTTTTGGCAGAATTCCATTCCAGCCCAGGTGGGGGACATTCGTGTTTTTTCAGAACATACAAACGAGTGTCCAACATTGTGTATTGGGAAGGGATAAGGCAAGATATTCAAGAGTTTGTAAAGGCTTGCACTGTCTCCCAAGTCAATAAATATTCAGCCCTCAAGCCAACTGGACTATTGCAGCCCTTACCAATTCCGGAGCAGGTTTTTGACGATTTGACGATGGATTTTATTGGCGGTTTACCACGAGCAAAAGGTTTTGATAGTATTCTTTTGGTGGTTGATCGGCTCACTAAATATGCCCATTTCATCCTCTTGTCACACCCATTTAATGCAAAAGAGGTTTCTACGATATTCATGAGGGAAATTGCTAGGCTTCATGGGTTCCCTAAGTCCATTGTGTCAGACCGAGATCGACTCTTTATGAGCCAATTTTGGTAGGAAATTTTCAGAGCAGCAGGGACCTCTCTCAAGTTCAGTTCTGCATACCACCCCCAAACAGATGGCCAAACGGAAGTGGTCAATCAGTGTGTAGAGGCCTATCTGCGATGCTTCTGCAGTTCCCAGCCTAAACAGTGGCCCAATTTTCTCTCTTGGGCGGAGTTTTGGTACAACACAACTTACCATCGTTCCACAAAAATGACACTGTTTAAAGCCCTCTATGGCAGAGATCCCCCACTCCTTCTCAAGATGACCGATTACCCTTCCTCAGTGGAAGATGTGAACCAGTAGCTCAGCCACCGCAATGCCATTATTACTGAACTTAAACACCACTTGGAATCCGCTCAAGGAAACATGAAAGCGCAGGCCGATAAACATCGCAAGACATCAGTTTTACTCCAGGGGATTCGGTTTACCTAAAACTACAGCCCTACAAGTTCCGATCGTTGGCTAGGAAATTGAATGAGAAACTCAGCCCGCGTTTCTATGGCCCATTCAAAGTGTTAGACAGAATTGGTCTGACTGCGTACAAACTGGATCTGCCCTTACTGCCGGTATTCATCCGGTGTTCCATGTGTCCCAACTCAAAGCCAGCATATATGCCTCTGTCCCAGTCCAGCCACTTCCCCATTTTCTCACTGAAGAGATGGAACTACAGGTTCAACCCCAAGCAGTCCTAGCAACACAATCCCTTCTTGATGGTACCAAAGAGGTCCTCATTAAATGGCAGGATCTGCCCTCCTTTGAAGCTACTTGGGAGTCCTTCGACATCATCAACACACAATTCTCTCAATTCCACCTTGAGGACAAGGTGGTTCTCCTAGGGGGGGTATTGATAGACCCCCTGTCAATATAGTCTATAAGTCAAGAGGCAGCACTAAGAGTAAAGGCACTAAGGGGAAAGGGGCGTGATTGTGGATGGTTACAGAATATGGGTGAAGTTGTTACAGTTTGTTACGGGATTCTCATGCATGTGGATGGGTAGAATAAAAGTTGTTAGGGAAGGGTAGTATAGGAAGTAATTGGGTATAAATAGTTAGGGTGTGATAAGGGAGGTATCAAGTTGAATCATTTTGGTTTTGTGGGAGGTCTCCAGCTCCTCGAATTGCTGGAAGTGGACTGGAATCACTTTTTCTTGCTACTGTTATTTTCTTTCTGTTTCAATATTAATCTTCAGTTAATTCCCTTGAGCTTACTTTCATTCAGTTCTTGTGTGTGTGTGTTGGAGTTGAGTTATTTGAGCAGGTGGTTCCATCAGATTCTTTGAGGGCTTGCTTTCGCCCTAATAATATATTTTGTAAGCATTGTCTTAGACATTTCCAAACTACAAAAGCTTGTAAATTTTTATACTATCAATTAAAATTTTGTTATGCTTTTATGCTCTTAGCTCTCCTGTGTGATGTGGCTTGCCATCCACAAACCAAAGAGATTTAGCTTATCTTGGATAATAAATATGCATTTCTAGGTATTCTGTGATGATTCTAGCACCTATTGGTGGGCTAAGATCGATAATCTTTTTTGCCAAAAATTACGAATTTTTCTCATAAATTGCTTGGTGAGATAGAAAAAATGAAGCTGCTATGAGTGAATGAAGATTATGATGATGATGATGATGATAAGATGAGGATGATCTATCACCCATTGGTGGGCTAAGATCAATAATCGTTTATACCAAAATTTAGGAATTTTTCTCATAAATTGCTTGTGAGAGAGAAAAGTGAAGCTACTATTAGTGGATGAAGAATATGATGATGATGAGGATAAGATGAGGATTTTGTTGGCTTGAGGCACATCTAAGCAGTAGTTTGTGTAATTTGGCTGTACATAAGAGCGCTCATGTCAATGTGTATGTGTCAACACCTTGCTTAGTTATATGTAATAATATTAAGCTGTCATTCAACATTTCAAACCCCCATTTCATCACCTTGTACTCTTATTTATCTATGTTAGACATTATTAATATCAACAATAGTTTTCTGCCATCTGTACTTTTGATATATTTGAGAAAAATAACATATTGACTTGCTTTAATTTTTTTTTTTGTCAATAATATTATTGAATGGATAAACAACGAAATATGTAACAAAGACTTTTTCCTATTTAATGGGAAATATGGAACAAATAGTGAAGCTAATGCATTGTTGTTGTTAGCCATTTGCTGGTTAAACCCACAATTAAAGCACTTTCTGACTGGTTGAACAAACAACACACTGAAAAGTCATACTATAATATGGATCAAAATTATCAAATAGCTCTCCAATTCATATGTGAAAGGTTGACATGAGAAATACATGATAAATTCAACAACTCCTGAAATTGGATAATGAAATGGCAATGTCAATAGAACATGTCCTAAAACCTTCAGGAATTACCCTGCCCAAGGAAGAGGTAGTCTGCTATCCAGCTCTGCCCCACTATTTCTGTTGTCCAACTCTGCAGTCATTGAGCAAACATTTGAGCAGCTTTAGAATTTGCAGGCGAATTGAGATTGGGATCACAAAGTAATGACTGCAATATATGCATACCAAATCAGAATAACAAAGCATGAGAGATCATACATGATAAATTCAACAACTCCTGAATTGGATACTACATGGCCTGCCATACCTCCATCAAACAACATACTACACGGCCTACTAGAGTTCAACCAAGGACTGCAGCAATTAAAGCTTAGAATCTGCAACTTTAGACACAAAACTACGCACAACACTTTACAAACAACACAGAAAACAGCCTGCACAGACTACATATCCAGTCCAATAAACTCAGCATAACCCATCTGCTTGAAAATGTATAAAATGCAATCAACAGGCTGCTACCCCGACAACACATTTTCCTGCTCACCACACATTCCCGGAACCTACAAGAATTGCAGCATATAAATTTTCTTCCTTAATTGAATAGCTTCGCCATGGGCACACCCTCCCATAAACACATAAACTGCAGTCATTTGAATTTGCTGATCTGTAAAATCTGCAAACTTAACTTAGGAACTGAAAAAAATGTTGCAGTCACGCTGCTGCTCCTTATGAACCACTTCCCACAGGGTACTATTTCTACATTTTTGCTAAATCTGCACAGCCAGCAGACAATGACCCTATACAACCTTCTGTATAGCCAGCATAATTGCACCACTAAAAAATAAACAGAACCAAGCATAAACCTACTGCTGCACCTCCAATTCTCCCACACAAAAGCTTCCAACAAAGTTGAATAACGATAACTCAACTTGGACAGTAAGGCCTAAAGGTTATCCCCATTTTCAGGACAAAGGCGCAGGTCAAACATGTGAGTAATTTCTTTAATATACTACTTTAAATTTGCATCAAAGATTTGTTCACGCAAGTTTAAAGAAAGCTACCTGATTTTTTTCTTGAAGTCAAATATCAGTTGAAGAAGAAACATATTCAAACCGTACATATATTTCATCATTATTATATTAAGTATTTCGACATTATAAAACTAACACAGAATCTCAACTTGTGTTATATATCTTTTCTTATAATCAAAGACTAGCAAATAGTAACCACACACAAATTAAACAATTATTCAAATAGTCTGCAACAATCAAACAAATAAAGTAAAACTTCCATTATAAGTTTAGCATCTGTGGAAAAGAAAACATATAAGCTAATCCTAGTGGTCTATTTTATATATTCAAAATAAGAGAGTAACAGAGGACTTACAAACATGAAATAATTTTGGTTCCACTATGCTATCAGAATCTCTTTTCTGGGTTTAAACCAAATTCAGAGAAACAACAATGAATGGAATGTAATCATAAAAAAAAAGATTATCAAAAGTTTATTAATGGAAAGAATAGAAAGAGGCTGAAAGTGGAAAGTGTGGAACGCGAACTTTTGTTTGAATATGATAAAGTCCTAGCAATACTCACTTTAAAATGATTAATAACCGGTGATATTGACTAGCGGTTGATCGGTATCAAAATTTTGAATTTTTGAATAAACCAGCTTAACAGACATAAGTTATGTTTCTCTTATAAGAAGCAATTCCATATTCCTAATTTCTATTTCATTTGAAATTGATCCTTAAATTACCTGTGCGTTTATGGCAAACGTTTGATGCTTGAAAATTCAAAGTGGTATCTTTGCTCATATAGAAAGCAATGTTGAACTTCATCATCGTGAGACAACTTCATCAGCGAAGAGATGCACCGCCTTCAGTATAGGTTCTCTGTTCTTCAATTTGACGGTGTAAAGATTCAAGCCTAATATCAATCTCCAATATCAATCACTCACACAACCTAACAACAATCCACACAATAACACAATAAAAAACAAACACAAGATTTTTACCGTGGTTCACCTATCCAAGATTGGATAGACTACATCCACGTTGAGCTCCAGAATATTTGGGGCTCACTGCACTAGTTAATCAAGAACTTACAATTACAAGAACAAGTCACTCAATCACAACCAAAAACTCACTTTGTAACTCCTAATCTAAAGAAAACTCTTCCTGGTATCTCTAATCTTTGAGAGAACAAACAACCCTCCAAGAATGACTAGAACTAATCACTCACTCACTGAAGCTACACTGATTTTTGGACTGAAAAACTGGAAATTTTGAGAGCACTCTGTTTTTGAAACGAAGAGAAGAAGACTGATGTTTCCGCTCGCACTTTTGGGGCTGCTTTAATGTTGACTTGAAGGTAAATCTCAGCCTTTGGATCACTTGTTTCCATCACGATCAGCATTATCCCAAGCTTTATTAAAACGGCAGCGCACAACTTATTCAATCTAAGCATATGCGACAACGTTTTAATGGCTTCACTTCACACATCTCCACCTTGAAGCCCTTAAACACTACCATCAGTTCCAGAATCTCATTAGTGTAGCTAACCCATTACATATTCCTTCATAGCTCTTTACTACTGCCTATTTTATAAACAACAAGTCCAAGCAATGCTTGAACTTGGCAGTAGTAACAACTTTGTACCTAAATCTGCTGGATTGTCTTCAGTCGCCACCTTTTTCAGATTAATCACTCCCCGTGCTACCAAGTCTCTGACAAAATGGAATCGAACATCCACATGCTTGGTTCTCTCATGGTGACAGGATTTTTACTCAAGTGTATTGCACTTTGGCTGTCAGAATATATTGTCACTACACCATCCATTAGTTCTACTTCTGACAGAATTCCTTGAAGCCACAAAGCTTCCTTAAACACATCTACCACTGCTACATATTCTGCCTGTTGTGGATAGTGCTACAATTGGTTGTAGCTGAGACTTCCAACTCACACAGTTTCCACCAAAAGTGAAGAAATAAGAGGGTTGACTTCCTAGTATCCCTGTCTCCTGCAAAATCAGAATCTACATACCCCACAAGATCAAGTGCATTACCTCTCTTACAAATTCCAAACCAACATGTGATGTACTATTGATAATCTCACACAACCATTTTAATGCTACCAATGTTCAGTTCCAGGATTGACATAAACCTACTAAGCAGAGAAACAGCAAAGGACAGGTCTGGTCTAGTACTAATCATGCATACATAACTGAACCTATTGCATTAGAATAAGGTACATGTTCCATTTTAATTAACTCAGAATCAGACTTGGGGCTTTGAGATTTACTTACTTAAAGTGATTAGCTAAAGGCATAGATACCATTTTTGAGTCAGACATCCCAAATTTAGCAACCATTTTCTGTAAGTATGATTGCTGCTGAATTTTAAGTTCACAACTGCTCTGTTTCTATTTATTACCATCCCTATATTTCTTAGCAACACCTAAGTCTTTCATATCAAATTCAGAACTGAGTTTTTGTTTTAAATCATCTATCCTAGACTTAATTTGCTAATAAGTAGCATATCATCAACATACAACAATAGATAAATTGGCATGTTATCACTCAATGCAAAATAGAAACAACTATCATACTTACTCCTCATAAAACCAACACCTACTATAAATGAATCAAACCTTTTATACCACTGCCTAGGTGACTGTTTTAGACCATACAAGACTTATGCAGTGAACATACATGATTGGGCAGTTTTTATCTACAAAACCGGAGGTTGCACATGAAATCTCCTCTTCTAAGTTACCATGCAAAAATGCTGTTTTTACATCTAATTGCTCTATTCTAAGTCTTGATGAGCAACTAAAGATAGCATAAGTCTGATGGTTTTTGTACTTAACTACCGGCGAGAAATCTCCTTAAAATCTATGCCTTCTCTTTGGGTATAACCCTTAGCTACTAATCTAGCTTTATACCTAGGAGTCATGCCCAGGTATACCATCTTTATTTTAAACAGCCACCTACCACTGTATTAGTTTATGATCTTGGTTTTAGGGACCAAAGACCATGTTTCATTTACCTTAAGTGAGTGCATCTCTTCTTTCATGGCAGCCCACCATTTGTCTTTGTCCTTAGACCTCATTGCTTCTTCAAACGTATCAGGTTCCATCTGCTGAACTTCAGTACCTGCAAGCAAAGCAGTGTATATCAAATCCGCATAAGAATATCTTGCAGGTGGTCTAATATCCCTCCTGGTTCTATCCCTTGCTAACTGGTATTGTTGCAAGTCAAGTTGTTGAGGTTCCTCAATCTCTCCAGTTACATCTTCAGCTTCTTGGGCAGGTTCAGCAAGTTCTGGAGAGTTTCAGGTTCAAATTCAGTCTCAGAATGTGGCAGATCAGTTGCTGTATTGTTGGTTCCACCTCAATTGAAGTAACATTTGTTAGGCTAATTTTTCTTCATTGTTACCAGAGGTACCTGCATCACTGTTAGTAATTTGCATGGAAAGACATTTTCATTAAAGATCACATCTCTACTAATTATATTTTTATCCCTGGTGACTCTCTATTCCACAGCCTATACCCCTTGGTTCCTTCTTGGTATCCCAAGAAAACACACCTAATAGATCTAGGTTCTAACTTGCCTTCACTTGTGTGTGCATAGGCAGCACACCCAAACACTCTCAAATAGCTCAAGGTTGGCATCCTCCCTGACCATTTCTCTTCAGGGCACTTAAATCTATTGCACTGGAGGGGCTCCTATTCACTAAGTAGGCTCAGTAGTCAAAGCTTCTCCCCAAAAGGTTTTTGGTAATCCTGAAGTAAATAGGAGGCATCTAACCTTCTCTAATAAGGTCCTGTTCATCCTCTCAGCGACACCATTTTGCTGAGAGTCATTCTAACAGTCCTATGCCTAAGAATTCCTTGGTCACTACAGAATTGATCATTCTGCATTACAAAATTCTAGGCCATTATCAGTTCTTAATGCCTTGACCCTCTATCTATTTGATTCTCCACTAACAACTTCCAACTCTTAAACTTAGTTAATGCCTCATCTTTAGATTTCAAAAGGTAACCCCCACACTTTCCTACTAAATCATCTACTATAGACATGAAATAACATTTCCCCCATGGACCTGACCTTTTCAGGCTGCCACAGATCGAATGAGGTATTCCAAACAGTTTGAGGCAAGGTGATTTCCTTTTGTGAAACTCACCTTGTGTTGTTTACCCAACACGCAAGTCTCACAGAAATCAAGAGTAGTTGTATTGTCCTTACCAAACAGTCCTTGTTGTTGAGGATATCCATCCCCTTCTAACTCATGTGGCCCATTCTGAGATGCCACTTCTCTTTCACAGAAAGGTTAGTAGAAACAAGAGCAAAATTGAAATCAGAATAAAGTTACCACAAAGATTATAAGCCCGTTCATTTTAACACCTTTCAGGATAGAGTTGTTATTTCTATACACATTTAGACAACCATGTTCAGCCTTATAACAACAGCCAGACTGTCTAGAGTTCCTAAGGAGATCAGATTCCTTTTGAGTTCAGGATAAACCTAACCTTAGTCAATTTAATTAGCTTCCCATCATTCACGTTTAAGGTTATACTACCCATCCCTTTCACTTTACAGCATTGTTGTTACCCATGAAAACATTCTCTTCTCCACATGCTTCATAATCCTGAAACCATTTTCTATTTGGACTCATGTGAAAAGAACATCCTGAGTCTAATACCCAATCCTGTACACAGTCTGACTTAGATACTGTAAGAACTTCAGACTCTTCAATGACATGTTTGGTTGAGGCTAAATTACTCTCTATGTTTCCCTGTTTCTGTTTTTAATCCACTCAAAGCAATTTTTCTTAAGTGGCCTGTTTGTTACAATGAAAACATTTTCTTGTTTCCCCTTTAGGCTTATTATTTCCCTTCCCTTCTTCTTATTCTTATAACTAGGGTTTGCTGAGTACCTTTACTAGGTTGACCAGACTCAATTTTACCCTTTACAAACAGTGATTACCATTTCGTTTTGGATTTTCAGCTCTAATTCCCTAGCTTTTAACCAGCTGTAATTAGATCCAGACTAGGTACTGTACCAGTATACTGCAAAGCATTTTTAACTACTTGATACTCTTCAGTTATTGAGTTTAACAATATCATAGCTAACTGGTGTCCCCTAATTCCTGATCTGTACCTTTAATATTAGAGTCTTTTTAAGGATTCATCTAGATATCATCAATAGACTTAGTACTGTCCATTTTATATGAGAACAAAACACCCTTTAAAAAGCAAGATTTGGTGCAGATGGCAAAGAATATAGTGTTCGGTTTACCCCTAGTGCAAGAGGAGTCTCCGGCCGTCTACCTTCCTTAGAACATTATCGAGAGAGTTCATCACGATCAGATTATACGCTTCCTCATCTATTTCTGCCTTTCTTCTTTAATTTTTCTTCTGCCATTTCCTCGCATCCTTTTCCAGTGCAACAGCTACCTTGTTGTGGAAAGCAACGCTTTCATCTTCTTTTTCCAGCATTGAAGTCGATTTTGCCGTCATATTGTGCAATCCTCCATCCTGTGGTGGACATTGTGAGAGTTTTGGTAAGGATACCAATTTACCCGATAGGCCTTAGAAATCGAATTGATCTCTAATTTTAGAGAATTGATAACTCGGTTTGACAAGATTAAAGACTCTAGAGTACAACAGGACAATTAGACAAAACCCCCAAATTTCAATGAACCCTAGATTTCAAGAACCCCCCCAATTGGACGATTCACACCTCGATTTCAGATCTGGAACCTTAGAGTACTAAGAGACTGATCAATCGAAAACCCCCCATTTTAAATGAA